ATATAATATTCCAATCCTATGATGAATCTTCATAATTCATGTCAGCAATTCTACAACCAAATTATAAATTGTACTAAACATGACAGTATATTCACCATTCTGATCTTTACACAATTACTTGGCAACACACTATAATAACAACCAAAGTTAGAAAGATATAAAATTTCTCAGATGAACATAATGATTAATGCAGAAATGTAAATAAACTACTTTGCTAAAGGACTAACTAAACAAATAAATGTATAGTTCTTATAGAAACAGCTAGGTAATAAAATATTAAATTGAGCAATAATGTAAAGTTTTCAAGTTCTAGTCAAGTAATTGTGAATATGAAGCACCATTTCATGGCATAATACTGAATCATTTCCTGCATTTTGTGAGGCATTCTGTTTTTATTTATTTTAGTTTTAAATTTGTAGTCTGTGATACACAGTGGTTGTCTGGGTTTGGATTACATTGTGCTGCATAAAAAAAGCAAGAGATAATTATGATCTTGGTGTTCTAGTTTTTATTATTTTGCTATGATAAATAAAATGGCCAAAAGCAATATGAGGCTGAAAGGATTTATTTTATTTATAGGTAAGTCAGGGCTTATATCTGACTGAAGCATCCTTTTTCTCAACTTCTGCTGCTGTGTTCCTTATATTTATTAAACATTATAGGAAGATGCTTGAATTTAGAGAAAATTCCAGCTGATTTAAAAATACTATTTATGAAGGATACCATTTCTTTTCTTCATTCGTTAAGAGATGTGTGTCCATTGAACAGACATCAGAAGGCTTGATAGCTCTCTGATTAGTTTCAGACTCAAGAGACAAGAAGGATGCTAATGACTCAATTGTGGACAATTGAGACATATATACACAGAAGTAGCTATAGATCCTGTCCCCAGTAGAGTAGAGACTATCATTAACAACCTTGTTCCAAATAACAAGTCCTTAAAGACTTGTGAAAGCCAGGTCTTCTACAGCAGATGTGTTGTTCGTTCAAGCTTTGATGAGTTGAAAGTAAGGAAGGGCTGTTTCTACTTCAAGATTTTGATATTTTCTATTTTTTTCACTAATGGAAGCTGATTGCCAATTGTCCAAATGGAGAATCAACACATTGAATATTATGTTCTAATTTACTTTTCAGTCCTCCACATCTCATAGACAAGACATTATATTTATATAATGCTTACAAATTTACACTATGATTATATTAAATTTTCTTGCATATGGTAAGCACAATTATGTTTTTATTATTAAATACTATATTCATATAATACCTTAAAGATATTTTCACACTTAAGCAAATTTAAAAATTAAAATATTTTAGAATTGTAATTAGTATATAATATATATATATTTTCCATTAATTTAATAAAATAATAGCACCTCAAAATAATTTCAACCTGTATTTCTTTAAGGATTTCAATAAAAACATTTAAAAATTATTTATTATTTAATACTTTTTTTCCATTTGTTTTTCATCTTGGTGCATGTTTTTATTTTAAGTTCTGATTTTAAAAGAGCTAGAATCTTTGCCACAGCAGCGCTGTTCTTCACCATAACATGCTGACTTTAAGGCTGATATTTGATTTGTAGTTTTATCTCATTTCTATTGATTCTATTGATGTTGATTGTAAGGTTTAAATGTAGACTTATTCTCAATGTCAAATTTTTATAATTCCATAAATGTTTTGTGATATTTTACTTTAATTTGTCTTTAAATTTTTAATTATAAACCAGTCAATATGTACTTTCTTAAACTATATATGCATCTATAAACATAAATTCAAATAATTTTGAGTGTACATATGTAACATTTCATGTAAAATAAAATACCAATTTTATTCAGGTCTAAAACATGAATGACACAATAATAACCATATATGTATACCTTTAAAGTAAATTCATTTTAAAAGTTTTATCTTATCTCATATACTAAATCTCAACCATAATTTGCCTTCCATCTCCCCTCCTGTTCTCTCCTGCCCCACCTCCCCTCTCACCACCACCTGTCCAATCCTCCTTCCCTTCTTTCAGAAAAGTGCAGGTCTCCAAGGGATATCAACTGACCAAGGCATATCAAATTGCAATAAAACTAAGTATCTCTCCTCATACTAAGGCTGGAAGAGGCAACCCAGTAGGACAAAAGGGGTCTTAAAAGCAGACAGAAGAGTCAGAGACAGTCATTCACTGTTAGGAGTCCCACAAGAACACCAAGCTACACAACCTTAAAGCAGAGAGCCTAGGTCAGTTCCATGCAGCTCCCTTGTTGTTGGTTCAGACTCTGAGAGCCCCTATGAGTCCAGGTTAGTTGATTCTGTGTGTTTTCTTCTGGTGTACTTGACCCCTCTGGCTCCTACAATCCTTCCTCCCACTCTTCTGCAGGATTTCCAAAACTCCACCTAAACTTTGTTTGTGGCTCTCTGTCTGCCTCTGTTTCCATCAGTTGTTGCATAATACTTCTCTGATGACAATTTTATATGAGGTTCCTGTCTGCAAGTATAGCAGAATACCATTAAGACTTTTTTTTTCCAAATGTGATTGGTTCTATCCTGGGTCTGTGAGCTCTCCCGCCTCTGGTTCCTGGCCCTTAAGACAATGTCAGAGGTGGGGTACCTCTTGTGACATGGATATCTTTGAGGTAATGTTTCTTTTTGTGAACAGCTCTTTCCCTGTGTATGAAGGTAGCAACAGTTTGATAATCGTTAGCTCTTTTGATATGCTTTTGTTGGGTTTCTTTTTTAACTATAGTGAAAAAAAAAACATTTAAAAGTTATAACTACTCTCACTGTATACCTTTTAATTGATGACCATGCATTATGGTTGTTTTCTTGGAATCACAAAAATGACTTGAAAAGAATTTTCTGTTCATTTGAACAGGATGATTTGTGATGATACATCAGCCTCAGTATATAGAGGCTGAAAAACAAAATTTGAATATCTTTAGGAATAAAAGTTTTGAGAGCAGAATACTCACAGTAGTTAGCATTGTAAGTCAACTTTTTTCCCATCTAGATGGCAGTCTTAAGTGCAGAAAAAACATGAATTTAATCTCTAGATACACTTATATTCTAGCTACAATTCTAACATCTTAGATGCAAACCATATGTTGACAGAAGGTGATAATTTTCTGTGCTAGATGAAAATGCCACAAATGTAATTGAAAGTTAATTCCATCACATTTGATTTCCTCCTTTCCTCTCCTCATCCTTGTGATCATCAGTGAAATAATCATTTTAACCTCAATTTGAAAACTCAGAGACAATCAAACTGGCCACCAATTTTGTATATATTTATTTGGTAATGAATGAGAATATCATGCAAATTCTGATGTCCTGGATCTTTATTTGGAAATGTTTCAAGATAAATGTAATTTTTCAAAAGAGTGAGTATAAATTTATATAGTTTGAGCAGCTTGTATACATGTATTTAGGAATATATGTATTTGTGCATATATACACATATATGAATATAATGACAATCAATGAAAAAAGAAGCCATGAATTTGAAAGAAAGCAAGCATGAGGACATAAGATGGTTTGGAGAGAAGAAAGGAAAGGGGGAAGTAATCAAATTACATTATAATATCAAAAATTAATAAATATTTTAAAAAATATTTGATGCTTTCAATTATACCTAGGATAATGAAATCAAATTTATACTTCTTCCAAAGGCCATGAATCTGGAACATAGACAGGGACTAAGGTACTTTCCCAGTTGTAAATGGGTTGGCTTGTGCTTATAGAGTTATCGTTTCAATCTTGATACCCCAATATCCATTCAGTATGAGGGGTTATCTGTATCCTGTTTGGTAAATGTGAGGTACCAAATTGTTTCCTTGATGTATCAAATGTCTCCTATGCTTTCTTAAATAGAGGACATGTTCTTTGAATACTAAATAGGTTGTAAAATACTATATGTAATAAGATACAAACCTGTTTCATAAAAACCAGAGAAATTTATATTACCATAAAATTCAATACAGGAGTTGATTAAAGCAGTAATATAAGAGAGAACAAGATTCATTTTCTACAAAATTACTTTTGTATAAGCAATACAAATGTAAAAATGCTAAAATGAAAGTTGTGAAAAAAGGTAAATACTTTGGTAAGACTGAAATATGGAGTTCACTTACTGTGATATCTTGTGCATACATTTTGCCCATCTCATTGAGAGATTTCAACCACATTTCTGTGGCCAGAGAAATATCTTTTATTCCTTAGCATTCATCCTTGCTTTTTTTTTTTGTCATTTAGGAATATTTATAAGCCTTCCTATCGAACACAGTTCTACTTTAGCTTTTAAACATGCTGCATTCTCTTCTTGGAACACTTTTTTACACACCCATATATCTCATTAAATCACTTGATCATTTTATTCTAATAGTGAATTTTATGTAGCAGCCTTCATTCAGTATCTCACATGTAACAGACTGAATAACAATTCCTAGTCTTCATTAAATCTGAATCTCTGGGATCCACATATACCACCTCATATGGAAAAACAGATTGTTTACATGTAAGTCAGAGAAAGATCATAAAAGAAAAAACATAGCTTGGATTATGAGAGTAGGAATTATATGTAATTCAAGTGTTCTTTTGACTGAGAAAGAAGGAAGGCACAGTAACGAAAGACAAAAGCACAATATTGCTGTTTCATTTAAAAAGGGGGTTAGTTACTACAGACAGGAGCTTTAGAAGCTCAAAAGGGGGCATTGGGTGACAAAGTGCTTCCTCTCTTCGAGCCTCTAGCAACAGTGTGACCTTGTACCTGTGTTGTTCCACCCAGAAATTCAAATAGCTCCGTGCTTCTGACTTTCAAACTAGAAGTGAATGAATCCTAGTTACTTTCAGCCACCAAGTTTTCAGGAAATTGCTGTGGTAACTTCAAGAAAAATGGGAAATTAATACCATTTACATTATAACAATGAGCATTTCCTTCTATTCTTTGTCCTAGTTTAATTTTTATATGGTAGTTTACTTATAACAACACTTGTTTATTTTCTAACAGGACATCATCTGCTTGAAAACATTAAGTTGCTGATTTAAGTGATCTGTTATTTCAAAAGAAATATACAGGCCTATAATGGTAAGTGATAAATATTTGTTGTCTATGTTAGAGAGTATGTGTATGATTTAATTCTCTGATATTTAACTTACCTATTATTGAACTGAAAATGTATCATTTCAAAAGAAGGTATGTGAAGTTGTACTTCATCATTCTGTAAAGAGAATATATAGACAATTGCAAGTTTTGGTGTTTCTCACAATTTAGTTCCTCTTCACAATGAATGTTCTGGATTATTGTATTGTGTTTAATACTGAGAACAACACTAACAGAATACAAAAAAAAATGAACAAAAAGTGAAGGCAAGAATTGTCATATAAAATGACACTTGTCATTCTTAAAACAAAGAACAGACAAAAACATTTATCTATCTTTATGTCCTGGCTCAGATTCCCTGTGCTAGACGGCATTGATCTCATGTGTCAGAGATCCGAGCAGAGGGTAAGGACATATTTGAGGTGAGGTATTTGGAAAGGAGGTTGGGAGTGGTATTGAATGAAACTGGTGTTTTTAGGTTATCTGGAAATGAAATAAATTGAAATGGCTATCCACAGGATGTTGAAATTTCCATTGTCATGAGATTGTAGCAAACTTATATTCCAACTAAGCTGAATGCTGGTAGATATTAAATAATCAGAGAGAGCTTGTGTACCACCCTGTAAATATTCAGTAGTCAATTCTACCAACTAAGAGCTTTGTAACATGAGAGAGTTTTTTTTTTCAATCCTTTCTTGTTCTGTGATAATTGATAACAGGGAATACAATAATGTGAATTGCAACTGTTTGAGTCTCAGTGTATAGATGTTGTAGCACACATATGGGCTACTGCTGAAGTTTCTTTCTTTGTTTCATCTGTCATAGGGCAACCTCTCAGTGTCTCACACCATGATGGCTATCAGATCCTGGAGGAAATCCTTCTATTTATTTATTATTCATTTAAGTCTCATGATATTATTTTGTAACAAGGAACTGTAGACTACACTACCATGGCAATTTGGAATCATACGGGTGTGAAGGAATTCATACTGGTTGGCTTAACAGAAAATCCTAATTGGGAGATTCCCCTCTTCTTGCTATTCAGTCTAATTTATCTTGTCATTCTTGTAGGTAATTGGGGAATGATTATCTTGATCTGGCTGAATGCCCAGCTTCATACCCCAATGTACTTCTTCCTTAGTAATCTCTCTTTCTGTGACATCTGCTACTCTACGGTCTTTGCTCCTAAAATGCTGATCAATTTCCTATCAGAACACAAGTCTAGTACATTCTTTGCTTGTGTTCTGCAGAGTTTCTTTTTTGCAGTTTATGTAACCACGGAAGGTATACTCCTGTCTATGATGGCTTATGATCGCTATGTGGCAATCACAAACCCATTAATGTATACAGTAATTATGACTCACAGCGTCTGCACTCAGATGGTTCTTGCATGTTACTTGGGTGGCCTCATTAATTCCCTGACTCACACAATAGGTCTTCTCAGACTGGACTTCTGTGGTCCAAACGTTGTGAATCACTTCTTCTGTGACATTCCTCCTCTTTTGAAGCTTTCCTGTTCTGATGCACACATCAATGAGATGCTGCTTTTGGTCTTCTCTGGAGTGATTGCTATTTTCACTTTTATCATCATCATTGTATCCTATAGCCGCATTATCGTTGCCATTCTGAGGATCCGCTCTGTAGAGGGGAGGCGCAAAGCCTTCTCTACTTGTGCCTCACACCTGACAGCTGTGACATTATTTTATGGTTCTGTGGCTTTTAGCTATATCCAGCCAAGTTCTCAGTACTCTATGGAGCAGGAAAAAGTCTCTGCTGTGTTTTACACCTTGATCATCCCCATGCTGAACCCTCTGATTTACAGCCTGCGGAACAAGGATGTGAAGGAAGCAGCAAGGAGATCGATTTGTATGGGGAGGAGCACCTCTTGACTCTGACCTTTCACTGACTTTGCAAACGATATAAATCTTAAAACTGACATTATGGCAAATTATTAATTTTTATTTGTATCAGACAGAATTTTATACTAAAGTATTTAGTGATATTTATTTATGAAATACTATATTGTCTCAGAGAAAACTTAAAATGTCCCTAGTGGCAAGATTTTCATGAATTTTTTCACATGTGTCTACAAAGTCTCCATAAAAGCAGAAATGGTTATTTTCATTTTGTATATAATTTCAATATTATGCTAAATGACTGAATAAAAATTTAGCTGATGAGTTAAAATTTTAACTAACCAACGTCAATGAAATATCTGTGATGATTCGTGTGGCTTACAAACTTAATTGAAGAGTTGAAACTAAAATTATTAGATAAGGAGGAGCTCCTCAGCATGAGAATATATGGAAGTTTGACTGTTAAACGTGTCTTTTATATAAAATTGAACTTATGGCAAACACTTCTCAAGTGGCCAAGAACCTGAGAAAAGATAGCCCAGTGGCCTAGTTTCAAAATAATACCAGTGATCTACTAAAAGAAGGTAGCAAAACATGTCTCCCAATCACATTCTGTTATACTTATAGATGAACTCCTTGATCAGATATCATCAGAAAAGCTTTCTTCTCCAGTAGATGGGAACAAATACAGAGACCCACAGTCAGAAAATATAGAAAGAGTGAGAAACTTTTGAACACTCAGCCCTAATTAAGATGTCTACCTCAAGGCTCCTTTATCCTTTATCTAGCTTTTTTGGTGTAACTCTGGAAAGCTATAGGACACCCACATAGACTTTAAGTTTTCTGGAAAGTGTTTTGAAGAACACTGCTATAGCGGCAGATGACACTATAACTTGTGCAATATTTATTTTCATCATGGGAAGAACAACTGATTACAGGTTGGATCACATGTCTTCTCTATAATGGACAATAAGCTTCTGTCAATCTAGTTTCCAATGTGGACGAAAGTAACATGCCTGTGAGCCAAACACAAATGTCATTGATATCAGTAAACCAAGCTCCTTTTGTAATACCACTTTAGAGCTTTGCTGCATAAATGAAAAGGGGACTAGCTCATATTACAGAGATGTGAACATGCCTGGGAACTTGACAAGGAAGCAGAAAGATATACAAACAAGCAATAGAAAAAAATACATAGAAATATAGAACTAGTAAGTCTGAGGTAATAGATGATTGGACTATGGTAGAAAGAGATAATGCTGCTACAATGTTGATCCATGCTATTATAATGTAAAGCTAGTACATTCATTTGCTGGGTTCTTCCGATTCTTCATTTTTAATTTGTGCAACAACAGCTAGCATCCTCTTGTCCATAATACCTAATGACAGTGTTGTAAAAACTGCAAGCCTTTTTATTCTATGGTCATTATAACCCAAAGTGCCCTCACTTAGATTTTTCTGGGAGAGGATAATATTCCAATTCTAAGTGTAAGTTAATACATACAAACAACATAAATGGATTCATTTTCTATATTATGTGAATATATACATATATATGTAAACATAATAAAAGAATAAAAGGCCTTTAATTTGAGATTAGGTAACATTAGAGGGGCTGGAGCAATGAAAAGAAATGGGAGAAGTTATCAAATTATAGTTTGATAAAAACAGAATTAGTATAAATTAACAATTTGTAAAAAAATAATTTAAATTCAAAAAGGAAATTTAAATTGGAAAATACAACCTTATACTTGAGGTGAATAATAAGTATGTTACAATAGTTTCATGGATTTAACAGTAGGTAAATAAATGATATTTTATATGAATTTCATCTATAGGATATGGTGTTGGTTTTACATTTTAGAGGACAGCTGGAAGAATCTCATATAAATTAGCACAGTGTAAATTTTAGATGGGCCTTCTATACTCCTTTAATTCTTGGGTAGTGGTTCTCATTAGTATTCAACAAAAAATGTAATTGTGAAAGCTCTAAAGTGGTATTACAAAAGGAGCTTGGTTTACTGATATCAATGACATTTGTGTTTGGCTCACAGGCATGTTACTTTCGTCCACATTGGAAACTAGATTGACAGAAGCTCATTGTCCATTATAGAGAAGTCATGTGATCCAACCTGTAATCAGTTGTTCTTCCCACGATGAAAATAAATATTGCACAAGTTATAGTGTCATCTGCTGCTATAGCAGTGTTCTTCAAAACACTTTCCAGAAAACTTAAAGTCTATGTGGGTGTCCTATAGCTTTCCAGAGTTACACCAAAAAGCTAGAAATGAGAAACATCAGCTTATCTTTTAACCAAGACCAATGGTCTGCAGATGGTTTCTGCCCAGGACTCATTGGCTTTTCCACATTCACAGTGGAGAAGACACAGAGTTTAGCTGATGGTATTCGATCTTTGTTGAGTACCATAATCTGTGGAAAGACCTGCAATTCACCACTTAAGAATTTCTCTAGGACTTATTTTTTAAATACTGAGCTATATGTGTTTTCCATAAAAATTAAAAAAAATAACATTATGGCTAAAACAATTGTTTTTATGAGACAAATGGGCAGGGCATATCTCCTTGGAAATAGTCTCTTCTATTTTTGTTTTGTTTTGTTTTTTTCAAGGCAGGGTTTCTTTGTGTAGTTTTGGTGCCTTTCCTGGATCTTTCTCTGTAGACCAGGCTGGCCTTGAACTCACAGAGATCCACCTGGCTCTGCCTCCAGAGTGCTGGGATTAAAGGCGTGAGCCACCACTGCACTGCAGAGATAGTCTTTTCTAAACAAAAACAACAACAACAGCAATCACAAAAAGAAAATTCAATGTGGGGATATCAGAGAGAAGTTAGAGAGAGTAACTTGAAATTAATATGGCCATAATACATTGAATGAAGTCAAATTACACCGAATTAAAATTATACAATTAAAACAAATCTGTTAAAAAGACCCAAGCCTGCCGGGCAGTGGTGGTACACGCCTTTAATCCCAGCACTCTGGAGGCAGAGGCAGGTGGATCTTTGTGAGTTTGAGGCCAGCCTGGGCTACAGAGTGAGTTCCAGGAAAGGCTCCAAAGCTGCACAGAGAAACCCTGTCTCAACAAACAAACAAACAAACAAACAAGAGACTCAAGCC